TGCTGTTGAAATTGAGGCCTAGTGTGCTGTTCCTTGTCCCACCTTAGATTAGGATGATCTCTCCAACCTGCTGGAAATTGTTAAATGCATTAACCTGCTCTGTTGTAAAATCTGGAGAAACATCTTTATGCGGGCATCTCATAAAATCGTGAGTTATCATGTTGCAAATGCTGCAGGCAGCTTGTAAGGGCTGATGTACATCAACCTGGGAACTTGGTATTCTCTATAATAACATGTCAAATTTTGCATCAAGCATTTTCTCCATTTTTTCAATTTGTGCTGTAACATACGGAGAGCCGTTAGACATCTCAAAAACAGACCTAGATTGTGGCTGCTCAACTGCCCACTGCTGTGTATCTGCTGCCATTTTTTTCAAATAACAAACAAGCCTCTTATGCATTTTTTGTCTTTGTACGAACCTCCGCATGAAGCGTTGACAAGAGTTTTTGTAGTCATATTCAACCCTCTGAAAAATATGTGCATTTGATTAGTAGTGTTAATACCCGAATGTGGACATTTTCTAATCAACTCTTTAAACCGCTCCCACGCCTCATGAAACTCCTCATTTGGGTTTTTGAGTAAAAGATAAAATCTGAGTTCTCATATCAAGAGTCTTAGAAGCCGAATAATACTTGTTTAAAACTTTTCACTGAGTTGGGCCCAAGTACTAATGCTTCCAGATGGGAGTGTGAGGAGCCATCTCCTTGCTTGATCTTTTAGTGTGTATGGAAATAAACGCAGCTTAATAGATTCGGCTGAAAATCCCCTTACCAAAATGTTTTTGCACCCCATTAAAAATTCTGCAATGTGCATGTTAGGATCATCAGATGATAACCCATGAAACGTAGGTAGAATATTCAACATGTGCTACTTTATTTCAAATGCAGACCCTTCCTCCACTGCCGGATAAGTAATGCAACTTGGTATATTTGTGGTATGGGCTGTCAGTGAATCACCCAGGGGCAGACCTGCCTCTGGAATTATAAATGCCATTTTTTCTTTGCTGTGCAGGTCCCCAGAAAAGAATGATTGCATAAAAGTCTCCTGTAGAGGACGAACCCTCTGCAACGTTTGCTCCCTGCGTTTCCTCCTTAAATTCTGCTTAATTTCTAGATCAAGTGGAATCAATTTCTGCACTGTTGAACGAGTGCTGACCATGCACAGATTTCCGAAATCTGCACTGTTGTACTGTTGTAATCTGTAAAAATAAAATAAAAACGAAAATTAATTTTTTTTTATATGTATGAACAGCAATAACTAATTGAAAATCTGAATAGTAGGGATTATTTTAAATAGTCCCCGGCAACGGCTCCATTTTCTTGATAGGATTTTTACTACTCATGTGAACGGGCTTAAATCTCCTATTTTACTTGCAAGAATCACAAGGTTATTGTAGTATAAACGGATCTTGTAAGGTCATCTCCACAGGGACTATTAAATAATTCGAAACTAATCAGATTCCATTTAATTATTGTAAAATAGAAGTTGAGGTGATTGATTTTATAACCTAATTAAAATAAAAACGAAATTAATGAATTAAAATAAACAATCTGCAATATTAGAGCTAGAGAGAAGAAAACCGTTTTGGGAGAATAAAATTAAGAAAGCATTAGGGTTCGACCATCACCTTGCAATTCTATGAATTTTTACCAATTACTTACAATCTACACATGCCACTTTGAAGGTTAGATTTTCCTAATTCATATTCTACTTGGAACCTCTAACATAAAATGATATCTAACATGCAACCCGTCCGGACGTCGGATCAAATCTGAACATGAAATATTCATTATGCTTTATGAAAATCCTTTAAAAAACCATGCAATCCTTAAGACGTAATATTCATCCTAAGTGAAATTACAATTATTAATCACAAGAAGCCAACGTCAATTTCAAGAAACCTTCCGACCAAAATTGCATCAAATTACTTTTCTAAGGATCCTAATGGTGATCAGGCATTAAGACAATTAGATAGTTTTTATCCTGGTGATTAACAATTCAAAGTATGCATGTAATCAATCATAAGCAATTAAATAAAAATCACATATTCATGCTAAGGCTCAAGGTTTCGCCCTAGCAAAAGAAATTAGTTCCGCATATTCATAATTGAAATCATAGAAAATATATTCAAGAAAAGGATTGAAAGCACCTTCAAGTAAAAAGTCTTCAAAACCCTAACAATTCTCTCTGTCTCCAAAGTTGCATAAAATAAAGCGTAGCGAAATATGGTAGACGGCCAAGCAATATATCTGCCAAGCCTCCTCCCAAACCCTAGGAAAACTCCAATTCATAAAAAACCAATAAAATAGGAGACATAACCCTAAATTAAATGGTAAAATTCGCCTAAAATCTGAACAGCCACGTTTTGGACCCATAAGCTGCTCCAAAACTGGCCCAATATAGCTGCATTTAATGTTTGAAATATTCTGAACACTTTTCCAGAAGGCCACGAACCCATCCGAGGTCATCTTGGGCTCCAAAAACGCAATTTAAGCCCAAAAACGTCATTTTCCAGCACTGCACACTGCTTCTTTATTTCATCGCCAGAAAATAACCGCTTGGTGGAAAAATCCCAATTTTTGATACGATCAAGCTAAGTGACTCACGAACGTCCTCGAACTGGAATTACTCCAAAATTCGTCCATTTGGTCCTGTTTTGCTCCAGAGGAAGTCGAAAGTCCTATATTGAAAATACAATTCAAAGTATCAAAATTCTTCCAAAATATTTACCAAAATATACTAAGATTAGGGTAAAATATATAATATAAAATGTACTCATCACTTTTCTTTTTCTATAGATTAGTAGCACGAGTTCTTGATTCTTTTGGGACATTACAATGTTTTCTTTGCCTTTCCCTTGAATTATCGGTTTCGGGGTTGGTGTTTACCCCAAAAGTAAATGTCGAAGTAGACAATTGAGCTAAACACTCAGACCCTGTTGACATCCTTGGTGCTGCATTCCTCTCACAATTGCTATCAAATAATGTTGCCATGTTTCGAAATCTATGCGTAATAGAATTGTAGAGACTATTAAAATCTTTTAAAATTTATCATTTAAAAAAAATCTTTTGAAATCCTTTGAAATCCAAATTGATTACACCCTTATTGTTTTATTTTGTATAAGAAGTAGAATATTTTAATTTTTTTATCATTCTAAATATGTTTTAGGATAATTCTTACTTTACTACCCTACAAGTATCGTGATTTTCAAACTTCATACATTAAATTTTTTTTATCCCAATATCATACCTAAAGTGAGAATTGTGAAACACTTCCGTTAGTTTTCCATGAGAACCTCCATTAACTCGTGATGGGGCACCCACACCAACAATGATTGAGTGCCGTGGACATGTTAAAAAAAAAAAAAAAAATCAAACCCCAATCATCTCTCCAAACAACTATCAAACCCCCAAATCCTAATTCCTACAAAACCCCAACTCCCCTTTTATTATCATCGGCGAAGGACTCGCTAGCCTCTCCTCTGCCACCCACCTCAACTCCCAAAACACCCTTTTCCTCTTCCAGCCTTCGATGCAGTCGACGCCCGTGTTCGAACTGACATTGTCGACGGTTCACTCTTGACTGCGGCTTCCAAATCTTCATCACCGCCTACCCTACTCCAAAGCTTAGAAACTTCTCGACTTCTAATCCTTGACCTCCAGATATTCTACTTCGGCGCTTGTACATTGTATGGTGGTAGTTTCCACACTGTCGCCAATCCCCTCTGAGGGAACTCTGTCAAGTCCCTCACCTACCCGATCCGATCAATTCCATAATAGAGCTGCTGAGGGGAATCAGATTCTCCGATTCGATCGTCGCCCGATTATTTTAGCTTTTTTTGGATGACGTTTTCTTCGACAAAGAGCTCGAAACGACATCTTCAAGTGTCTTTCCCAATTTTATTTTTAATTTTTAATGTCCACGTGAGGCTTAAATTGACATGTGGCGTCCAATCATTGTCCATGTGGGTTTCACATCACGAGTTAAAGACGGTTGTCATGGAATATTTAACAGATGTATGAAAGCGTCTCACAATTCTCACTTGGATATATGACACTAGAATAAAAAAAAAGCTCTTGATGTATGAAAGTTTGAAACTACAATACTTCAAGTAGTAAAGTGAGAATTGCCATGTGTTTTTAATTGCCGATTCCTACCGATTCCAAATAGAAAAATTTTGAGTTTTCACCTGCAGAATCCCCCACTCGGGCCACCCTGCTTCGTTAGAGCAACTTCACCCTTGGTGGTTGCTCGGGGGATAGGCGAAGGGAAAGGGCCCGAGGGCCGGTGGATAGGGCTCCAGTGTTGGGTAGCCCGAGTGAAGGTGGGAGCCCGAGGGTCAGGCCCGTGGAGGATTGCCAGCCCTGCAGCCCGAGGTAGGTGTGACGTCAGGCTGATGCCAGGCCTGGCGTCGGTCCTTTTTTTAATTTTTTTGTGTCAGGCGCATGCCCCTCACTCGCTAGTGGGGGTGCGTCAGCCGACAGCTTTATAGGGCACGAGGCCCGTGCGCTAGTTTCAGCAGGTGATCATTGGGAAGCCACATGACTTTCCACGGTCCGTTCGATCTCAACGGCTCTTTAATATGAGTCGTCCGATTTGAAACGATAATAAAAAAAGACTGATTTAATATCAACCGTTCAATCTGAGACAAACTGTTGATATTATCTGCTTTATAAATTAAAAAAAAAAGAAAAAATAGTTTTAAAATATCTTATCCGAAATTACAAATAGTCGTTTTGGGTAAATGACGCATGACGCAACGAGAACGATTTAAAATATCTTATCTGAAATTACAAATAAATTTATTTAGTATTATTTTGTAAAAAAAAAATATATATATTTTATTGCTTATTTTCAGGGTTATTCAAGTGCAACGATGAAGATGCAAAATGTAGTTACTGTTTACATGAAGGGTGGAGTTGCTCTTATCCGTATCAATATCCCTCACGTGTCACGCACGTGAAGAGACCCGTTCACGCAAACAGAGCAAGATGGCGGGAAAATACGCAGTCCCTCGCTCTACCTGACTTACTATATTTCCCTCGCTTCTAGGTTTTGCAGATTTTACCTTTCCGACCGAAATTCTCATAAAAATCCCTCTTTTGTCTAGCGACTAGCGCCGGAGACGGAGGCGATGCCGACGTACAACATCAGAGGCATCGATGTCGATTTCCCATTTGAGGCGTACGATTGCCAGCTCGTTTACATGGAGAAAGTCATTCAATCTCTCCAAGAAGTAAGCTTCATTTCCAAAGTTCATTTCTTTCTATTGAAACCACAACTTGTTGTCTGTTTTTTTCAAATTTTGTTTTTTTTTTTGGGGGGCATATTTTGATTTTCAGTGAAGTGTATAATAATATATTTGGACCGATTTAATGTCAAATTGAAGAATTTGGTAATGAGTGTAGCTCAAAATCATGTAAGATGCTCACCTAAGCATACAATTAGAGCATATTCGAGTCGATTAGGATAATGTGGTTACTGGGTAACAAGATTTTGGTACTCTAATAGCATGAATCCACTTGGTGCGGTGTTCTTTGTATCGATTTTGGTCATAATTACTTTTTGTTTGATACTTTTTAAGCCTTGTTGACATCATTATCATTGTTGTTTTCGTGGGAGTGGTTGCCCCAATTGACTTGGCAGTTGGGAACAACCTATCAGGAAACACGGGTATGGCTGCTTATGGCCTACCCTTTCTAGACTCCGCACTGGTGGGAGCCTTGCCTTCTTCGAATAATTGGTATAGTTTGTGACTTGTTTGTGCATGTAAAATGCTGCAGAAAAGTAATGCACTGCTGGAGAGTCCCACTGGAACTGGGGAAGACCCTTTGTCTTCTGTGCGCCACATTGGCCTGGAGGAAGAGTTTGGGCCCTTTCTCAACTGGTCCTAATGTCAAGATGAGTGTGATCACAGGAGATGCATCAGGTGGTCCCTCGTCACAGTCTGTGACAAAAGGTTTTCCTACCATAGTATATACGTCCCGCACTCACAGCCAGATCCGGCAAGTAATTCAAGAGTTGAAAAGAAGCGCTTACAGGTCAGTCATATTATGGATTTCCAATTACTCAATATCGGTTGACCTTGGTTATCATTATTACTTTTGTTATTGTTTTTATTGCTCACCTTATCTAGTTCTTGTATCTTTGTCACCTATTGATGCGCAGCTATAGTGTGATCTCCTGATATTAAGGAGCCTCGTAGATGAATGTACAATGTGCCTTCCGCAATTTGTTTTCTACTCAATAGCAATACACCATTTTGCGATATACCTCACCTTTTGCTGGTCAAGACTTGCAATCCTACCCATGCTATTGTAATTTTTATTTAATTGTATTTTCAGGTTCAAATAGTTAGTGCGGTCTCAACAATGCTACATGTATTTTTTATTATGTTGCTTGCTATGCTGATGTGCTGTGTGCACTGAAGCCTGTATTATTTGACATATCTTTGAGCTTCTGGAGCAACATAAACTTTCCTAAGCTGCATTGTATTTTACTTTCCACGAGTCACTTGTTTTTGTTGATGGGTACCTAAGGACTGCATATGATTTCTTGTCATGAAAGTTGCATTGGACTCAAGTTATGGTTAGTTTAACTTATTCATTAACATTTGGTTGCTTAAAAATAACATATACTACTATGGGATCAGTCTTCATACTGTAATTAGTTGAGTAAGAGTTGTTGTGATTACCAACTTATCCACTCCAATTATGAGCTGTTGAAATCAGTATTGAGTCATTGATACATTGTTGAGGATTTATTTGTTCTCAACTTTTTTGGGTAGGATTGAATTATTCTCTTTTTGCTTGACGAATTGTTGTTTGTACTAAGATTTCTCTGTTTTCCTTTTGAATTTTCAATATATTAGAAACTGAACTGAGTGTTTGACAATCTGCAGGCCAAAAATGGTAGTGTTGGGATCTCGAGAGCAATTATGCATTGATGAGGAAGTGAGTTTACTTCGCGGAAGAACACAGACAAAGGCTTGCCATGTCCTCTGCAGAAAGCGCACAAAGGATACAAAGCGTCGTTGTTCTCATTACTCTCGTGGTTCTGGTAAATTTTATGCTTGTTACTTTACTTAGACACGTATGTGGTGGCTTGAAAGAATAATTTGGTTGTCCTTTCTTATAATATTTAGTTGTCTCAACTTCAGTATATGTTAAGGCAATTTTAATACAGAACCTATTCTCTATGAGACTTGGAACATATTAGCCATTTCGAGTATTACCATTTACTCTCAAGAACTTTTGGGTTCGGCTGTAGCATTGCTTTAGATTTGACCCTGACACTTCTTCTGAAATTAGCTATATAAGATGACTATGAAGTTCTCCATTCTTCATACCAAAAGGAAGCTAACGGTGCCTCATTGCTTTAGTTTGTTGTGAACTTGTGATTAAAAGTACTTAATTATTTGTTTGGATTTACAATGGGCTAAATTTATGCTTGGTGTCTTTATCCTTGATTCATGATTTGTTTATACTTCTTTATATACTTCTTTACTTGCTTGAGTGACTGAAGTGAATGTGAAGATGAGTTATTGAGTTATGAAATTGCTTAGCCTTATGAGCTCAACTAGGTTACTTATTAAAATAACCAGGAATGTTGTTGATGATTGATCTGCTCAGGAAGGTTGATAAGTTTATTTCTGTGTTATGTAACTGAAGTAACTTGACTGGTTCTTCTTAGGTTTTATTTTGATGCGATGAACATTTAAGAAAACTTAATTTTTATGTATGTTTGTGCTTCTGTTGTAGGTTTCTTGAAGAGTAATCCTCATCTTGGAGATGAACCTGTTGATATCGAGGATTTGGTCAATACTGGAAAAAAATTGGGGCCGTAGGTTCTTTTATCTGTGTTCTTTCATTATGTTAATGGCAACTTACACCCCCCATCTCTTTAGTATCCCTGGAAACCCATTGTTATGGTTGCTTAATGTGGTTAGCTTGCTTTTTTTTAATTTTTTTCTAAAAACTTGTTAACACTTTCTTGTAGGTGTCCTTATTATTTATCGAGGGAGCTCCATAAGGTTGTTGATATATTATTTGCACCTTATAACTATCTCATTGATCCTGCATTTAGAAAATCGCTACAGGTTGATTGGAAAAACAGTATTCTGATATTTGACGAAGCTCACAACCTGGTAAGCAAAAGTGATAAGCTTTGCTATTATTTCTGACAAAGGAAACTCCAATTTTCTCAATTATCTGAAAACAGCATATGTTGGTTTTGAATTTTATTCCTTGTTCTCTCGTCCACTCTTAGGACTTAACACAACTTTGAAACAAATACGCATCTCATATTAATGCAGATTGGTAATTTGGATTATTATCTGAGTTTTTTGCTTATCCAACCGAACTTAAAAATGATGCAGGAAAGCATATGTGCAGATGCTGCTTCCTTTGACTTGCCCTCTTGGCTTCTTACAACTTGCATTTCTGAAGCAAAAAATTGTATTGACCTTTCTTCAAAAAGAAGGGAAGACTCAACTGATAAATCACAGAATCCAGATGACTTTGCTATCCTCAGAGGTAAACCTAATTGGTCTATTTTCAGGTTTGAATGTTTACCGAACTTGCCATTTCTAATCAATACTATTCCATCGCATAATCTCTATACTGGCGATATTTTGTTAAGGGCCACTTGGCTTTCAAAAGACAAAATCCCATTGAAGTGGCTTTTACAATTTGCTACCCCCCCCCCCCCCCCCCCCAAAAAAAAATTGACATTAAATATACCATATTTATACTTCGTGTTGAACCCTGCTGTTGAGCAATAAAATTTTATGTGGTCACTTGTTGTTGTTGTTGTACACATTTTTCAAGTTAATGATGCATATCTTGCAGCGCTACTATTGAAGCTTGAGAAGCGTATTTCTGAAGTACCTATCGAATCCAAGGAATTGGGATACACAAAGCCTGGGCCTTATATCTATGAACTCCTGGCGGATTTAAACATCTCGCATGATACTGTCCCTAAGCTCATTGCAATACTTGAGGACGCTACTGTACTTATTGAGGAAGATAACCAGGACAAGGCGAATCGAAATGCCTGCCGGCTGGAAAGCATTAGTGACATGCTTAATATAATTTTCAGAGATAAAGACAATAATCATGCGAAATCCTATCGTGTAAGTTTGGATATTGGTTAGTCATGTGAAATCCTATCTGTATAATGTAGGTTTCGGTATTGATTACCCAGGATTAGCAAGAGCTTCCTTTTCCAGTTTTGTTTGTCTTGCTGCTTCAGATGTTAATTGTGGATGCTAGTTCATTATCCTTATTTTGGTTCATTATAGGTTCATGTACAAGAAGTTGAAGCCAGTGCAATAGATGGTTTAAAGGGTAAGTGGAGGCTTACGTTTCTCATATTTTGAAAGAAATTCATTGTTTCATCTATGTGACTATAGTAAATATGTTTTTGTGCTCTAATACTCCAATACGAGTTTAGTATCACACGCCATGTGTTTATTCAGAAAGATACGCATGAGGGCTACATCTCAGATGTTAAACTAAATTAGATCAAAATGGGTGGGTCTGGCCCTCTGGGCTTCAAATTTTAGGTCATTTCACAGGTCATACAACATGATTTCTCTAAATTGTTATGTCAAACTTGTCACTGAGTAGCTCAAGAACGTACCTTCTCATTACCTGAATATAGAACTGAGAGGTCTGGCCAAATCGAGTGTAGTAGGAAACATCAAAGGGAAGTGGAGGAGATGCCAATATTTTAAGATATGATAATGGAAAGAAGGTTCAAGTTGCGGTTTCTTTTGATTTTATGAGCCCTCTGCTGTAATTGGTGAACACAAAATTTGGTTCTGCAAGATCACTTTTTAGTGCTGTGAGATGTATTTGACGATTTTCTTGGTATGATGGTGAATCAATGTGGAGTAAATTAGTAATATCTCAGTAAATTTCAGTGAAGTGGAACTAGAGTTCGGGGCAAATCAAATGGATGATGCAAAAGAGGAGTTTTGTTATATCATAGTTACCGTGGTTTTGTCTTCTAAGCAACAAAATAGAGCATTAGAGAGGTTGGTTTTCAATCGTTTAACGCTATTGTATTGTGTTTCAGAGTGGGAGAGCTGTGATGACCTGATTAGTTTGCTATTCAAGCTTTCTTTCTTATGAGGGGATCTAATCTGAACTCTGTATCAAGCCATGTTGCTTCACCTTTTTAGATTAATCTTTTCATATACTGATATACGATTGGTATTCTTTCCTATAATACTGACCATTATATTCCTACCCTTCCGTTTCCAGGGAAGGCTTCTAGGACACTTAGCTGGTGGTGTTTTCATCCTGGAATTGCAATGGAAGAATTTGCCAGGATAGGTGTGGGCTCTATTATACTGACATCTGGCACATTATCTCCCTTGGATTCGTTTGCACAGGAACTGAAACTGTAAGCTACTTCTGTGCTGTTTATTTTCCATTTGGTTTTAGTGTGGCTGACTTGAGTTCTAAAAAAGAGAATGGTTTATTGTGTCTCAGAGAGTTTCCTGTGCGGCTGGAAAATCCTCATGTTATTACCCCGAATCAGATATGGGCTGGAGTTGTACCAGCTGGCCCTTCTGGATTCTCTTTCAACTCCTCTTACAGAAATCGTGATTCTACGGAGTACAAGCAGGACCTTGGAAATGCTATTGGTATTTTACATTTTTTGGTTGCTATTTAAGCCACTGGTCTGGATAACACCTTTTGTTGATAAATTAATAGCTTCGTTGAACCCCAGTCCTTCAAAACACAAAATTTGCTTATTTCATATTTCAGACTGTTGGGAGGAATGATTTTCTAAATTCGTAATTCATGGGATTTCAGATTTGCCAAATACGTCAAAGTAGTGCAATGTAATATTGCCATTCAAATTTTCTTATATGCAGCTGATGTAAATAGGTATTCTATTAGGCTTAGGCATTGAATAGATTTGCTAGTTAGCAATTAAAATTTGGACGATTTGTAATTGATGTATTTGTGCTTTATTCCCTAAGATTTAAAAGTTATGTCCTCTTAATCTTGATCTGTATAGCGTACTATTTTTTTGAGAACGGTAGAGCTTGGTACGCCGAGTCAAAAGACAAAGCAAATTGGAGTGTCCATATTGTATACTGGTTATTATTGAGTATCACTTAGAAAATCTATAATGTTCTGACTTTCTTGTTTCAGTCAATTTTGCTCGAATTGTTCCCAATGGATTGCTAGTATTCTTTCCGTCGTACTACATTCTGGACCAATGCATTGCCTGCTGGAAGAAAATGGTAAGGAATCAAGTAGATTCTGTGAAGAGGTCAAATTGGTTTGCTTTCGTCCCATGACACAGTATGTTCAATTTATGCAGAGCCATGCCAATTCAACTACAACATGGGAAAGAATCTCTAAACATAAGAAACCTGTTGTGGAACCTAGACAATCTTCGTTGTTTCTTTTGTCAATTGAGGTGATCAATATGACCTACAAACAGTTAGAAAATTTTCTTATTTATAAGAATGTGGTCTTTCTCATATGTTCCCTGGATTATATTTCTGGTAGGATTATATGGCAAAGCTGAAGGACACCTCAGCTTCTGGTGCAGTATTTTTTGCTGTTTGCCGTGGTAAAGTATGTCTGGTTCCTTTTCAGAATCACTCAAATTTTGTGCTCTGGAAGACTCCTTGTACTGATTTATTAAGACTAAAATAATCTATTGTGAACATTTGACTGTTATACAATAGGGGGTTTTATCCTACATATTTGCTTAATAAGTGGCTTTACAACTAAACCTTTTTGTGTTTGTCTCGTATCACTATCATGGATGCTTTATTATTTAATTTATTTGATAAGAGCATTTGAAGTGCTTGATTTTCGGTGGCGACACCTTTTTGGGTGGCTCCAAGAGGGGAAGTAGAAACTTAGAGATGGTGACAATATGAAAGTTTAGAGCAACAATATGTTGCACGAGGCATGATTATTGTATGACGCTATTTGGTCATATTTTATGAAAGGGCTCTCTTATCTCTATTCTGCCACAAAAAACCTTCCTTGAAATGTGTTATCATTTGGACTCTAGTTCAAAAGCAATACGTCTCTTGTGCTGAACACACTCTTTTATGGCCTTAATTGCACCGTACAACTTTTTTTTTCCTTTTTCTAACAAGCATTGTGAATGTACTGTTTATGAATAACATGTTTATTGGCGTTATTTACGTCTAGCAGCTCTAGAGTCGAGACTGCCTACGTTGCTTTAGAATTTAATGCTGCTGAATAGCTAAATTTCAGGATCTACCCTGATTTTAAGAGTCATACTGTATAGGTTCTTGGTTTATGCTTCCTATCATAATGTTAATGAAACTTTTGGGTGGCTATTGACACTGTTGTTCTACACTTCTACTATTTATTTGCTCTAGACCTTCTTGCTGAAATCTTAAGCTAGTGATCACAATTGATTGTCAATAATGTGTCAGGTAAGTGAAGGACTAGATTTTGCTGATCATGCTGGAAGAGCTGTAGTCATTACTGGTCTACCATTTGCCACAAGGAATGATCCTAAGGTGATAATTTCCCCCATTTTACCTTCAGAATATTTTTTCTATGTGTATATTATCAAGGTCTTGGCTGCTTAAAAAAGTTGAAATTGAGACCACTAACAAAGAAGTAGAAATGGAGAATGGTGATTTTATCAAGCACTTCTGATTCTGTTATTGACAGTAAGCCATGCTGATACTTTGTGATTTTATTTTTGACTGCTACCATGATTGACAGTTGTTGAAGATAGTACTATGAAAGCTAATATAAATGTTGATTTACCTGAAGCTACCTCTCACATGTGATGCTGATTGAGGAAATTGTTGATATTGAGGCATTAGATAGAAATCTTATGCACAACTCTATTTATGGAAATGAATATGGTGATTCGTGAACATTCACTGTGAATAATTATATATTAGTATACATATATGCATACAAACATATCTCAATTACATCGCTCGAATATGAATTTGTGAGTATGAACTTATGTTTCATGATAATGGCTAGTATTAATATAGACATAACCAGTTTGACAATCTCATTGTATATTTAATACATTACTTGGGTCTCTCAGTAACTTTTTACTTTCATATGGTGCTTTGGTTTGATGATGTAGAGATAATCAGAATGTCCCTTAAATTCTCTTTTAACGTTTTCCATTCGTTGGAATGCTTACTTGTATAGTTGCTGCATCTTATTCAAATTTCGACACTCATATCAAATGACAACATAAAACAGGTTCGACTGAAACGTGAATACTTGGATCAGCAGGCATATTCCCAAAGGCAAGCATGTAAGGTAACATCTTGCTTGGTGTGAGCCATTTTCAACTAGCAGGTGCTTTTCCTTATTCATTTTGCCAGTTTTCCTACTAATTTTTATCAAAACACTGAAGTTGAAGGTTCTAACTGGAGAAGACTGGTACAATCAACAAGCATTACGAGCTGTGAATCAGGCTGTTGGGCGCGTAATCCGTCATCGTCATGATTATGGAGCAATTATTTTTTGTGATGAAAGGTTGTTTCTTTTTTCTTTTCCTATTGTTATGTCATGACTTGCTAGTTGCTATATATTAAAATGCATGAATCTTTGTTTCGTCTAAAAGAATTGATGATTTGGTTTAATGTAAGATCAGATTAACTTCTTGTAACCAGATGCAGTTTCAACATGTTGTTGTAACTGTAAAGTTCTGGTTTTTACCCCACCCAGCCCTACAAAACAGGTTGAAAAATTTCATAAACTTCTAATGTGTTTTTTTTCTTGACAGCAAAGTTCAATATTACCTTGCATGTGGTCGATTGCCTCCATGGTTAGGGCCTTCGTATTAATCCCACTGCACCGGGGTTCAAACCCTCCCCACTCCCCTTAGTGTACCTTTTATTAGATTTAGAACTACTGCTTGTAATCAAAGAAATTCAATAGTACCTTTAAATAATTCTCTATATTTGACTTTAGTTTTCCGTTCCAAATGTCCCACAAAAATGTTGAGCTCTTTTTAGTTTTTACAACCTGATTTTTCTGTGACGATCGAAAGTGGAGAAGGTCAATTTTTGGGTTGCTTTTGGCTCATGTATCTCCTGTTTTTAGGAACACATCCCTATCTGATAATATTTGACAGTGGAAAGCTGTAGTGTCAGACGAAAATAGGGTGACTTAAGATGGATGTAGTTTGTTGAATTAGTGCTCTCTCTTCTGCTCATGGGGAATTGCTTGTCTACTTTTCTATACAGTTTCTATTTGAAATAAATTTCATCTTGTGAACAAAAGAACCCCTGATTTTTCTGCGACCATGGTTGAATTCATCTGAACTAGACTAGATTCTATGACAATTTATTTATTTTACCTCTTTAATATCTTTTAGCAGAGATATGTAGCTACTTTGGATGATCTTTAGTGTTTATGGGAGTTGTTTTATTTATAAACTGTTATCAAAAGCCAAGTTGGTTTTAGATTCACAAGCTTGTAGTAAAAAAACAAAATTCTGCTCTTAATCTGTATTTCTCTACGGATTTTGTTTTCATTGGTTTTGTAATCAATCATATGTGGTTTAATTAGCAACACTGATCTCTTCAATTGTATGTACGTATGTACTTTGTTTAACATTGGAGTTATTAACAGGTTTGCACATTCAAACCGTCAATCTCAAATATCGCTCTGGATACAACCTCATATCAAGGTGCTTTATGTTTAATAGTAACCTTTTAATCTATAAGAACTTTGTACTTATATTGTCTTTTCAGTGTTATCCCAACTTTGAGGGGTTAGTTTTTTCATTGTTATCAATCTCAAATCTCTCTCTGGATACAACCTCATATCATTTTGCTTTACGTTTACGAATAACTTTTTAATCTATAAGAACTTTGTATTCATATTGTTTTTTCAGTGTTACTCTAACTTTGGGGACGTAGTTTTTTCGTTGACCCGATTCTTTCGGGATGGAGATCGGGGTCCTACTAAGCTGCAACAAACTGAAAAATGGGGTAAGAATAGTGCGGTTAAGGGATAAACTTCCATGAGTCTATTAGGGTTTTATGGCTGCTCCTATCAAATGATGTTTTGAATGGCACATCATGTCTACATTCTTATCTCATTATAAGTACAAATTAATTAGCTAGGTTCACAAGTTTTATCTTTTACGACCAATCCTTGAATTGAACAGGAAAAGTTTCATGCTTTTTTCATGATAGGAAAACAAGTTTTTTTCTTCACATCATTTAACTGGTTTTGAAGTTAGATAATTTCAAACTATCGGCTATCAATTTAAGTGTGGAAATCTGGTAAAGGTATCACTAAAGGCATCATTTGAATGGAAGTAGGAGAAGAAATCATTAAAGTATTTGGGGGACTCTTCCACTAGCTTTCATAGTATTACTGGTTAAATAACTTTATTTATTGGCTGCTTTACATAATCTTACGAAGTCACCTCATCATACACCAAACTCACCTTTCTGTCATACTTTTCTGTAGATGCAATTTCTACTTCAAAATCAGTACTCCATGAGCAGCCCGATCATAAACCATCTTCTCTAGGTTCATCAACTTCAGATCATGGTAGATCTTTCTTTCTTGACTGAACTTTCTGTTTTTGTTATCCTCTTGACTGCACTGGCCTATTATTAATTCACCTTTGTTAACTATATGAATTCCCTTCCAAATAATGTGGTCTAGGGAGTTCCACTAATCAAAAGATAATGTATATGCGATGATGTAAAATGGAATTTGGTAATGTTATTCATTGCTTTGAGGTTGTGCTTTTATCATACTGAAATTTTCAACTGAATTTCCATGTCTCTCTTGTATCATTACATCAGGTTTACCATTTTCGTTTTATTAACAAGGGATAAGTTGTAACATATGTCTAAAGAGAATCCAAAAGTTGTTGTGACAATTAAGTAGAATATCTGTTAACCTTGAATTTGTTAGATACAGATATTTTGGGCCACGACGTTGCATGAATCACTTTTGGGATGCAGTATAGATCATAAGATATTGATTACTTCTGTAGATATATTTTTCATGAATAATAATTATTTTATGAAATTGGTATGATCTGAAGAGACATATATGCTCAGGTCAATATTTAAAATCCCAGAAAGGTAACCTGGATAGAGAAAGAATAACTAAAGTTCATTACTGTTTATATGGGTCAGATTGCATTACTGAAATATTTTTAGCAAAGCTATGTGTTGGCTGGTAAAAGATAGAGGAAAAGATTATGGTTTCTCTTATCTTTTATCATTTTCTCCTGTGCATAAGAAACCAAATTTCATTAATTAAAATGGAGGAGAATCAGAGGATAAAGATTCTAAGAATCTTATTTTCTTAGGGATAAAGAGTCTAAGGGGGTTGTATTCAATTGAGAATGTGAGAGATTTTAATGGATTTATAAATCCATGGATTTTTATGGAGTTTAATTGATTTGTAGAGATTCCATATAAAATTTTGATTCAATTCCCTCGAAATCTCATGGGAAGAGGTGAGATTTGTGGATACTTAAAATACAATACGAAATCTCTCCAATTCCCTCTAATTCATCAACTTTCTCAAATTTTTTAAAATCAATTTCTAATTGAATACACCTGGAATGTTATAAACTTCTTTAAAATCTTAATTGAATACACCTAGATTTCTAAGGATTTTAATAAACTATTTTAAAATTCTAATTGAATACACCTAGAATTTAAGAGAATCACTTAAAATCCTGATTGAATACCTCTAGATTCATTAAAAGAATTAAAATCCCTTAAAATCCCAATTGAATACACCCCCCTAAGATTGTTAGACTAGGTCTTACATTCTCAGTGAAATAGATCTGATATTCTAACGATTTAGGAATGGAGATTTTGCAAGTACTAAACTTATCCCATAAAACATCATCCCTTGGACCTGTAAAATTTGAAAAGGAAGGTGTTCTGAAATTTTGTAGAGGCCATCTAAAACAAGGAAGATATTGCCATTGTTTTCAGATGTTTGAGTGGTGATCGCCAGTTCATTTGTATTGTCTTGATTGGATTGAAGAAAATTCATTTACTTTAAGCCAACTTTAAGATGCAAATTTAAATAAAAAGCTGATGTTATTATCTTTAGTTTTTTCTTTTCATCTGTTTCTGAATTTTCTTTGCTGTAGTTTGAGCTGAACTCAATTGTCATTCCATTTCCAGTGCTGCTGTTTAAAGCATCTTTTGTGGTGCGACAACCTTTTAATGCTGTAGTTAATTTGATTACCTTTATTCATTTTGTAGGAACCCCAGGGAAAATATATGAGTTGAAAACTGAGGAACCACCAGAAATATTTTACTTGGACCAGTTTCTACCTAAGGTAAATCCTTTATCAGTACCTCTGCAGACATTCATATGAATGATATGTCACTAGTTTTATTTTGTATTACTGCAATCTGCTTCTTAGTTATTTGTACTTGTAGACAACTGCAGTTGGTCAAGACCCCGCTGTAAAATCGCCTTCTTTCCTACTTAAAGCTAGAAGGGACAGAATATCAAGCCTGTTAGGCGAAGTCCTTCCTGCCAACCGCTCATCTCTTACTTGCTGTAAGGATCAGTCTGTGTCATTAAAGTATTCAAATGATCTATTTCAAAGTGAGAAAAAGATGCGTATGTGTGATAGGGGAACTATGCAATGTCAAGAAAGTAAGGTTCTTGGGTTTCCTGGGAAAAATGAGAAACGAAGTGAACAACAACTGATAGCACCTTGTTCCACAAAGAAGTATAAATTAGAGCATGGTGCAGAACAACATGACAGTTCTAAGCATTCATCTCTTGCAAAAGATGCTCACTCATATGGTCTTTACTCCACTAATAATTCAATGAGAAGTGAGAGTTCACATAGATCTGACAGTGGAAGTGCACAAAATGCTCAAGTTGGTTCAGCTCTGCTGTGCAAAGATACGAGGATCATACAACAGGGAGATGCTGAGTTTCTGAGCAAGAAAAAAACGAGTGCAATATCCAGCCCTGTGCCTTCTGGTGATGGGGAAACCAGAGGATCTGAGTTTCTAGTTCAGGTAAGGTTTCTGACGAACGTAAATTCTTTTTATCATGGCTGGCAAACATTATAAACTATAAGGTCTTATTTTCTCATGGCTTTCATTCAAAGGACCATGAAAGGAAACTGACATAGGTGATGGGCCTCATAGAACATATATAATATGTTAATTGCCACAAACAACTTAAGCTCACATGCTTCTTGTTGCTATAGACTAGTTCTATTATATATGCAAGCTGGTGTGCTTGATGCTTAATTATGCCCTTGTTGCCTTACTTACAATGATTAGGACTTGTTATCCTGAATGGGATAATAAAGGATTTACCTGGTGGCAGAAAATAATGCAGAAACTGTTGCGATCTACTGTTCTGTGTATGCTTAAATTTCTTAACACTTGGGGAAGATTCGTTTTCCGGGCAGTTTGGTGGGGTTACTGCGATGGGATGAGGGAGGACTATGGAAATTTATATACTGAAGAAATGAAGTAGATTAAAGGGTATTGAAATTACCGTGTGGTTTACATACAGGGAAAAAAAGTAAACATGTGGAATTCTTATTTAGAGTAGGGAAAAATAGCTAATGGCAAATATAAAGAAATGAAGATAAAAAAGTTCACACTTTTGAAACATCTTCCGTGAATTTGAGAAACATAGATTTTTAGTTTACCATTTGTTCCTTTTGACATTTTCAGAAATAGCCCTTCCAACTCCTAATGTCATACCTGAATTCTTCGTGTGAATTTGTTAATTCAGTAACAGGCATTTGAAATTCTTAGAACTTCTCTCTCAGAAATGAGTTTGATAGTGTTTCTTCTCTGGAGTCACACAGTTTTTCTGTTTAGTACTCAGAGCAACTTGGCGTTTATGACGTTTTCCTTATGCCTTACAGGTTGAGGAAAAACTTAGTGCTTTGGAATATAAAGAATTTGTAAATTTGATGAAGGCACTTAAGTCCAAAGCTATGAAGATAAATGAGGTTTTGCAATCCATTGCGGGCTTGTTTTCCGGAAGAGAGAGGCTTCCTCTTCTTAAAAGGTAATCCTCCCATCTATATTTAGATTTTGATGTATATACTCATGATATCCAGCTTGGTGAGCATGAAAGTGTATTTCAACAGTCACTGTTTCAAAAACCAATGGGTAACATTTATAAAGAAAGTACTTTTTTTGGTGAATATGAAAGAAAGTACTTTATCAGAGTTTAAACATGAACTGCTGAATTTTGGTCCATTGTTGATGATCATGAGTTTGTACTAGCTGATGAGTAAATGATAAAAAATTGTGTATCTTTCTGCATGTCTCTCTGTCTCTCTCTGTGTGTATAAATATAACTAATGAATATACACCAAGAGTTTTGCATCTCATATTCTAATTTCACTATTTCTGTCTCGATTTTCAACAGATTTAAGGACTTTATCCCTGCAAAGTATCACTCTATGTATGAGAACTATTTTCAAACAAATGACGGATCTCTTGATATCCAAGGTAAGAAACTCTAGTTTACTTAAAACCTGAATTATAACATTTGCTGTGAATGAGATATCAAAATATATATACACCGACAAATTTTGGGCAAGATCAAGTTAATTTCATATACATATATATAAAGGGAAAATATCTAGATAATGCATTTTTTTTGAAGAAAGGAAAGGATCACATTGTAGGACCTCCCTACAATGTGGTCCAATGATCTAAGCCATCTATTCATTTGTTTCATGTTCACAATCTAGGGGGAAGAACATTTTCACACACACACACACGAGTTGATTTAGTAAGGACCTAAGTTACAGATGTGATGCACTCTTAAGTGTTTATCTATATGCATCTTGGAGGCTTTTGTAGAATTTTATGGTTTACTTACCTTATTCTGTATAGGAACTTTCTAGGACAAAGATCTAATTTGATCTCCTTAGTCCTCAAGCAAGTAGATCCACTACTAGAAAAGAATAGGAAACATCACAATTAGATGCTAAATCATATTTAGGTTTCAAAATAATGTTTGGAAGTTTTGAAATTTTCATGAGATGATTAGTTTATGGATGTTGAATTCAGATTTCAAAATAATACTTGTTGCCTATTTCTTCACATCCTGAAAGTAATTTGAAAGTTAAAATTAGACATGCGTCAAGATTAAAAGTGGATTCTACTTTATCTTTGAAGTTTAAACATAATAAGGTGCTCCAATTTGACAGGGTGGTATATCCTTACATGTATTTTAAAGCTTAAACACATAAAAAAAAGTTGAAGAAAACGTCCCCTTATTCTAATAAATTACTTGTCATGCAGGAAAGTAAAACTCTTAAGAGGGTTTTTGTGCGTGTTTGGCTCCATAAAACTTCATGAATATATCTGGAGCAGTTGGGATGCGTAAGTACTTGTATCAAGAATCATTTGTGGATTCAGTATCGTACTTGAAATTTATTGTTAGTCCAACTTAATTTCTGATTGGTAGCTTTTTGCTTGGTTTACCTCACTGTTAACGCAGATAAATGTTGTTTTCTACCCTTCATATGGAAGTAAAAGAACACACTTTTTAAGGTCAAACTACACCCAGTGATCCCATTCTACTGGGGTTCAAGAACCTGCCTGGTATTTCAGCTGAGGTCTCCCACAGGTAGGACACTTCGAAATGATGCTCTGGGTCACGAAGCTACAATTTGTTTTCTGAAAGAGTACCGGACTACTTTCTCTAGTTGTACAAATAGTGTAGAGGAAGCTTTCACTCACTCTTATTAGCTTCTGCAGCCTTTCACGGTGAACGGAATACGAATTATTATAGAAGTAGTAAACTGCTGTAGTGACCTGGGTGTTGTAGCATAGAGGTGGCGAGTGAAGGGGATGCATTTGCACATCCCGGATTCTCTTCTTCAGCAATATTTGTCTGTAGCTGCTGTTACAGCTTCAGAGGCAGTGTATTGCCAAACCTTTGTTTATAGTGTTAGAAAAGTTGGTTTTGCTTCTCAATCTTTGGTGATCTTTTTTTGGCTTAACGTTGTAGTGCTTCTCAAAAGGGCAATATACATTGAGTGATGCCTGGGCTGGCACAAAGTGGAAGGGGAAGAGTGGAGAAAAAGGGCTACTGTTAGGACAAGAGAAATGATTTCCGCAACCTTTTTTCCTTTATGCACTCCTATTTATTTGTCTGTTGATTTTTTTATTTATTCAATTTAAAGACTAGGAATAAACACGTGATCCATGTCAACCATTTTTGGTTGCCATGGCTCCGTCAGCCATGACGGGTGCCATGTTGATTTTAAGTCCAAGCCCAAATCTTTGGCGCTGATGTCAGGTGTCTTCCTCGAGTCCTTCACATTTTTTTCACCAAGCACGTGAGCCGCACAAGCCCAGCTCGGAGAGTGGTGCGACATATTTTGTTGCATGATTCCCACCACAATGGTTGTCAAGACACGTCTAAATCTTAGATGTCTACTTCAAATTCTCACTTTAATTTGGGAATTGTTATTGACATTCTAAAAATCTTATTCTACAATTCTCATAAGTGTATTTTTCTTTCTAATTATAGAAAATTTGGAGTACAAAATAAGATTTTTGAAGTGCCAATAACAATTTTCTTTAATCCAATTCTTATTAGTTTATGTAAAAAAAATCTAAAAAAAAAGAAGAAATAATCAGAATAATAAAATAATAAAATTTCCAACACTTTGAATTTTTTCACTAAACACTAAATTAATTTTTTTACTTCCCACACCAAAAGTCCATACAATTTTTCATATCCTTATTTTTTAACATTCTTATTTCATTTTCTGCATTCCTATTTTGTTTTGTCCTTACAAAATTGGCATCTCCCGTTGAAGGTGAAGTCAAAGCCGGAATCACATGGTTGACTGTCGAAATGTACTCGAAAATTTAAACAAAATTTTGTATAGACATGAGAGTTACTATTCACAATGGGTGGATCGTGAATAATAATCGTCATGGTAGTTACTCCAATCCTAAATCAAAATCCATCAAAATAGATGGAAATGCTCTTTGATATGACTTTAATATGACTTGGTGCGATGCACTTAGATGAATTTGTAATGACTACGTGAAATGAGATATTTAAAATTTCTTTATTTAGTGCCTATGTATGTTCATGTAATACATTTTCAAGCAATCTATCTAATATTTTGTGGTGTATTTCTTATTGAAGTAACTTAAGTTCCTTTGAGCCTAGAAATCTCGCATCCAAACACACTATCAATATTATTGTGCAAGCATAAATTGTAAGTTCATCTCTAGCCAAGAGTTATAGACCATTTTTAGTCCGAATTGGTGCAAAACTCGTCTCCAACTAGGCCAAAATGAATCTGATAAAAAGAATCAGGGCTAAATTTAGTCTAGAACTAGATACATATAGTAACCCTCAAGCCATTTGGCGGGCTCAAACATGTGCATCCCAAGCTAAATGGAAAGATTTAGCCCTGTGTGACTTCAGACGGAAATTTTTTTCTTTATAATATTAATTTTTAAAGAGCTAAAATATAGTGAAGGACTATGTTTAACCTCTATGAATGAAGATAGACATGACCAAAAACTTTTCTCGCGTTCCTATACACTACTTTGTTCAATGTGCTATATGAGTCTGACACCATAACATCTGCACTCTCCTGGTCTTACATACATCGATCATTGGCCACTCCTAGTGTATGCCAGAATAATGCACCCAAAAATAACTAAAGACTTTTCAAGTCCTATATATCCGAGTACCGGGGAACATGCATCAGACAAGACCTTATTCAAAGTCCATAAAATCTTACCAAAAACCACAAAATTACAAAAATTAAACGATTAACAAAGAGTCTTATTTTCTTGAAAGCTACATCTTGTTTATATTACAAGCAAAGCATATTGCATGTGATTAAGACTACCGAGAATAAATCCACAAAATTAACAATCTTAAATTGCATTATTAATTTTCTGTAGCACCAATAATCTTCATGTCCAATTCTTTGCTGAAATCCACGTACGATCCCTTTTCCTTGAGTTTCAAAATTTTGAAGACGACGACGATGTCTCCGAAACTCTGTCTGAATTCTGACGCAAATCCACGACCAAATCAGCGAAGGCGCTTAATATGAACCTGTAAGACTTCTTCTCGTTGAGGTTGAGATAACAAAACAGAAGCTCTTCCATGAAATTCCAATCCACCTTTGCATGATGTCGAAGGCGGGCTTCAACCACCTCATGCATGGATCGCTGGAAATCGTCGTATGGGCTCGGAGAGTAGGTCAAGACCGCGATACAGTCGTTGGGAAGCGTGACGTCTTTCGCGTCATCATTGTTATTAGAGTTCGACGTAGTGGCCGAATCGTTTAGGGTTGGAGTTGAGATGGAGCTTGAGCCCAAGTCCTCGAATGTAGTGGTAGTACTTGTCCGAGCTTCCTCCATGACCGAGCTTGATGCTCGGCCGGGGGACACAAAGAACCTGTGGGAGCCACAAAGATCCACGGCAGGCGGATCAATATTGAATCTAGGCGATTCGAACAAAACCCCTCCTGAGTTTTGATCAGTTTCATTGTCCGGCCGACGTTCCTTCAGGTGTAAGGTTTTATCCCAAAAAGCCTCAGCATGACGATCTTCTTTAACCCTTCTTTCATCGTTGTCATTGCCGTCGTCTCTCAAGTAGAGTGATCTGAAATTCTCAAACAAAAACTGATCAATATCGGAGAGGGAGGCTGCATCGTCGTTGTTATTTGCTTCCTTCTGGTCCCGATTGACGGCGAAAGAAAGGGTTTTCGGGTGCTTACAGCCTGATCGGATCCATTTTCTGGAGGGGAGTGGGATCTGTGGGGGTGGCTTTTTTATCTTGGAGAGGTAGTCTTGGAGATACTTTTGGAGTTTATTGGGCATTTTCTTGCTGATATGAATGTAATGGGATTGAGCGAGAAAAGTATGGGGGGTGGAGTGGTTTATAAACAAACAAGCAAGGAAAGTAACATATGATTCAATTGTTTTTTTAAAAACGTTTTTTTTATAATGCATTAATTTTTATATATAAACATGGAAGAAATTTTTAGGGCGTGGGGATTTCTTGACAATTTCTCCGAGATTTTGACCATTTCTGAAAATTGTGAACATGGTAACTTTCTAGGACTGTTTTGGAAGCATCATGATGAGTTTTGCTGTAAACGTTATTAGTACATAATAATTATTTGAGTTTTTATCGCAAATGGTTCTGAGATTGATCAAACTCATCATTTTGATCCTTAATTTTCAAAATCAATTAATGTCGTCCCTAACATTCACTACTGCACATCAATTTGGTTCTTATGTTAAGATTCCATCAGCTATTCTATTAGTTTGTATATATGACCCACAAATCCAATGAAATGGTGACACATGGATTACACAAAATAAGGGTTTTAACGCAAATGGTCCCTAACATTGATCCAACTCCTCATTTTGGTCCATGAGTTTAAAAAAAACGATAGATTTGGTCCCTGAATTTCAATACCACACATCAATTTAATCTCACATGAATTAACTATAAGAAACGATTTTTTTAAGATTTAAAACGGAAAGTAAAATAAGAAACTATAAGAAAAAAAAGTCATTGTCGTCTCCATTAGGATTTGCTCAAAAAGAAAAGAAAAACATCATGACACCACTAAAGTTAGGGTTGGAAAAAAAAATCCTGAAAATCCCGAACCAAATAAAAAAAATCCCGATCCCAAACCAAAAAAGTCCCTAACCAAAATTCCCGAAATTTTCAGGATGAAATATTTAACCGATCCTAAAATTTCGGTACGGGATTCGATATTGTCTACTCAATCTTTCGGTAATCCCATATTGAACCAAAAATAAATAATAAATATATTATTATATATGTATATATGTATTATTATACATTTGAATTGTTGTTAACTACTAGTAGCAATATAATTGGTGTGGTCTAAGGTAGTAACCATAGCCCTTTATTGCCACATTTGTCGGTACGAACCTCCCACAAATGTGTCTATTTCTTCAACATGAAATCAAAAAATTGTATTGTTAGTTTTCGAATATATTAGGTTTGTAACTTATTTTTTCGCTTTTGGGTTTGTTACTTATTTTATTTTGGTTGCATGTTAATTTAACTTGGTATGAATGATTGCTATTTCAATTTGTATGAAATTTGGAAATATCAAACCATTTCGAAATACCGAAAATATTTTGGGATTCTTGAAAATTGGAATACTGAAATTTTGGTTTGGGATTGGTCTTCAAATTTCTGTCCCGAAATTTTTCGTTTTGGGATTCGTGATCCCATTTTCAGTTTGGGATGCCATACCGAACCACCCCTAACTAAAGTACTTGGCCTCCTGAACTCACTCCTCATTCTCTCTAGTTGGTTATAATCCTATCCAATTTGAATTGAATTTGGATTTGATTTTATCGAATTTAGATTGAATATTTTTCCAATTGGGGTTGTGGGATGCGAGAAAAATGTCAGCGCAGAATACTCATATGTTGGTTCACTCTTAAAAAAAATAGTTTCTTATAGTAAATCCACGTGGAGCCATATGATTGCATTAATGGGACCACATCAGAATACAAACTTAAAATATTGATGAAATTTTGACGGAAGAACTAAATTGATGTGCGGTAGTGAAAGTCAAGGACCAAATTTATCAATTTTTGAAACTCAGGGACCAAAATAAGGAGTTGGATCAATGTTATGGACCATGGGCGATAAAACCCCTTAAGTTGTGTAATCCACATGTCACCATTTATTGAATTTGTGGGTCCCACATACAAACTAACATAATAGTTGATGAAATCTTAACGGAATGACCAAATTGATGTGGGGATATTAAATGTTTGAGACGATATTGATTAATTTTGAAAATAAGGGATCAAAATGAAAAGTTTAATCAATTTCAGTGATTATTTGTGATAAAAATTCTAATTATTTTTTTTGGTGTGATTGTAACATAGCAGATGTATTTTTTTTTTTTTAAAAAAAAAACGATATTCATTCATTCATAAAATCAAATAGGTGTTAGAGGAACAAGAATCACGTGTTTATTCACTATTAACCAGAAACACGCTTTTATTCACTAGCAACTAGAAACAAGTATACACCTTAAATTGTACTCTTTGATATAAAGTATAAACTGGTTACCTACCACGTGCGTTATAAAGATTTTCTGTTTTTTTTGTCAATAGCACGTTATAAATACTTAGGTGAAATAGTAACACCGAATTAAAATGTCTGGTGAGATTACAGTCGCACACTAAATAATTAAAGTGAGACATTAACGTCATTGATTGGAGTTTTGGATTCAATGGTATAAATTGGGTTGAATTAACTTACCATATAAGTCGATTCAGTTAATCTTGCTCATCTATTTTAACAAACAAAAAAAAATCTTGCTAATCTATACACGTTTTCATTTGTTTTTTCTTTATATTACGAATAAATGTAATATATCCTGCGGAATAGTAATATTTATTTTTCCGAAGTGTGCTATCCATTTTTTTTTAGTACATCGATATATTTTTACATTAAGAAGAGGGAGATTTCCGCTAAGCTACACAATAAATAACCTAATTTGGTATCGAATTCGTTATCCAAGAGATTCGAACATAAGACCTCTCACTCCTAAGTAAAGAAGAATAACACTAAACTGTAGTATTGAATGACATCTATCTTTATTTTTTTACTTTTTGGTTTTTCCAGCTTGAAAACATTTTTTTTAAACAGTTGAACCCAATGATTCAGCAGGCCTTATTTGAAAGATATATATATATATATATATATCGACACAAAAATGTACATTGGTTTGGTTCCACAACATGCCCCTTGCTGGGGAGGGGCAAGACCCTTTCTAAAAGGCCCTGTCCATGCCAACCCCAAAGATCAAATAAGTTTTTTTCTCTTTCTATTAAATCAAAGGCCCTGCTCATGCACCCAATATGTTTATAATAGAACTCAAGTTGAAAATACGCGAAGAACAAACAAAATATAAACTATGAATTATACTAATTAACAGAAAACAAATTAATACTATAAATTAGTTAGACTGCTACATAAACGAATACAATACTACTATATTATAAAAGAAAATTAAAGTAAATTAAAGTAAACTTTAATGTTTAACGAGCAAGATAACCTAATGCTAGGGCTAGGCTCACAAGAAAACTAATACAACAACAAACTAGGCCCAATCCAACTACTGGCCCAAACCCTTTCCAAAATCCAGCTACTGGCCCAAACCCAAAAACATGGCCCAACCTAACAAACTAGGCCCAATCCAACAACCCTTTACCCAGATCAGACCTAGGTCTGACCGGACCCGAGCCGAATACCCAGTTCCATGGTTGGCGTGTAGGCTGCGCGTGAGTTGGCGTGTGGGCTTTGCCATGAGTCGGGGCATAGAGCACACACGTCTCCGTCACCGGCTACTTTTTCGACCAACTTTCTGGCGACTCAACTTTGCGTGTGGTGGTGCGTGGCCTCCCAGGCCGCCGCCCCATGGCCTCATGTAAGGGTACCTGAGGTCCCCCTTGAGGTTTTTTGACGTCTTGAATCCATTTACGACGTTTTTTTTCCCAAATTCAATTGTTATAGTATAGTTTTATTAATTGGTCTCTTTATGTGCTTAGGTGCATTTGCTTGTGGCGTATCCGCTTTATTTAGTTGCACGGCCCTTTGACGGCGGGGTATCTGTGAGTGGACACCCTCTAAAATGTATGATTTTATTACTAGAAATGCATACATGAAAAAGGTGATTTTATGACTACGTTTTATGAAACGTGTATTGAGTTATTAGATTTACCTTTTTGAAATATCATGCTTTATTGAGTTCTACATTACTGAGATATTTATGAATATGATTTATGATATGATGTTTAAACTATTGAGCTCCGATGAGATATATTTTGGAAAGATTATGTTTATGATTTTATGTGCTTACCTAATGGAATGATACTTATATATGGCTTTGGCCGGGTAATGAAGTTCCTACAGGTGAATGATATTTATATATGGCTTCGGTCAGGTGATGAAGGGCATACGGGCGAATGATACTTATATATGGCTTCGGTCGGGTAATGAAGGGCCTATGGACGAATGATACTTATATATGGCTCTAGTCAAGTGATGAAGGGTCTTCCGGCGAATGAAGATTTATATATGCCTTCAGGGCGGGTGATGAAGGGCCTTCGAGCGAATGATACTACTGCTAAGCACACTATATATGATATATGTTTTATGAAGGTTTTATGGCAGGTTAGGGTTTTCGGAAAACCTATTACTTATTATGTTATATGAGTTTTCTAAACTAGGGGTTAATATGTTAAAGAATAATTGTTTTCGTATTACTTATATATAAGTTTGGTCCACTCATGTTTTGTTTTGCGCCCCCCTCAAGACTTAGATTCAAGGCTACAATCCCGGCATCAAGGCATTTCCGCATCAGTATCTTCGAGTCATTTCGGTGTATGACCCATTCCTCTATTTTTTACATTTTTATAGTATTCATTCTACAATGTTCTAGATTAGATGTATGCTCTGAACACGTTCCACAATTGCATATTCATTAAAGTTAAATTTACTAGTTTTTATTTATGTTTGTTCTTTCATCATAGTTATCATGTATGCTAGTATGACTTTGTCACCTTCGGGTGTCAGCCAACACGTGCCTACCCTGGTGTTTGGAGGATATCGGGGTCATGGCATGTCAATTTGGTATCAGAGCATGGTTTGTTCAAACCATACTTAAGATCTTATGTTATTGTAGTAGTGTGTTGGCCTTGACATCATTTGGTTGTCACGATTTCTGAATTTGTTGCCATTCGATGTAGTTGTGCAAACCTTTTTTTGTCTGAATTGTCACATTCTGTTTGAAGTACAAGAATTCGTGTTGGGATTGTGCCTCATCGATGATGCAATGAAATGATGGACGACTTTCAACA